ACACTAACTTCAATTCAGTGTAGAATAGGGTATGGAAATCATGAATCATCGTTTTGTGAATTTGCTTTGTTTTCCTCTGGTATATTGAGTCTGGGTATTGAGGCAGCCATGCAGTCAAAGGTCCTTTCATGACAATCAAGAATCAAGGACAATTTCCCCATAAATGTACTTCTAAATGAGATTCCCTTTGTTATAATGAAATTTAATAAACAAAGCAAGCAGCAGATCTACCAGAAGACCTCTTGACCTTATAAACTTCAAATGCTATTTTCAGCTTCATTCATATTCCTCCCAGAAGCTAATATTCAAACAAGTCTCCCTATCAATATTAATTCTGAAACTATTACATTGGCCCCACCTGAGCTGTGATCCAGGTGATGTTTGTCTTTTTTTAAGAGAGAAATAAAGAGGGAGAGTGAGAGCTGAAAACATGTTGGTCATGGGTCCCTGAAGTGGCCAATGGGGTTGCACATGGTATTGTTACCATGTCAATCCTCTGTGTACATATATGGAGGCGTCAGACCAACCCCCATCCCTAGCAGTCCGGTTCATGTTTACCGTTGTCATGGCAAACTGCTTTGATGTGTTGTCTCTGTAATGTATATTTTTAACAAAAAGCTTGATGGTCAACTCAATTCCTGTGTGTTGTGATTGCGCTGATAAGCTTCATTTTAGTCAGTACTCGTTTCAACTGTTGCTGTGACAATATCATCTCAGTGCCTCGACACCTGAGAATACAATGCAGGGCTGTTATAAATACCGTGTGCCACTACTGTGGTCTCACATTTCATGTGTCACTGTGGGCAATCTGGGTAATGAAGTTAATTTACATAACATGATGGGGTCTTGAGAGTTTGGTCCATGCGCATGATAACACGCCGCTGTATGAAGCACCTGCTTTCAGTATACTGGCATATCCATCTCCCTATGCGAAGTGGTCCTCTTCCCCGTCCATCCATGTATCACCTCCTCCCTCACACAACCACCTCACCCCCCCCCCCTCTATTCTCCGCTACGTTTCTCCCCCAGGGAGAGAAGGAGAGCAGCCTTTCTTCAAGTGATAAAGCTCTTTTTTATGATGCTGCTCTCTCAGGAGTGTGAGCCGGTAGACTGGACAGAGCACAAATCACAGATGTGAAGCCAAAATATATCAAGTTAGTTACTTGATAGTTCAAGTATCCACTATCAAGTAGCGAATTACAATTTTGAGTGATTTGTCGTTTTTTTTCATTTGTTGTACTAAAATATAAAAATATATAAAAATGTAGATATGATAATTGAAATACTGGAACCAGCCCATACACTGTTTTCAATATAGGGAAGGCACATTGGTGTGGTTTCCATCAATCTGTTGAAGCCGTGGGAGGGATATTTGCTTTACTGTGTCATGCAATCTGACTAATGGGGGGGCACACATTGTAATCTGCAACTTGTTATTTTTGCAACATATAGTTGTAGGATAAAATGTAAAGATTATTTATTCAAAAGATTATTTGACATATTACCTAATTTATCATAATTAACAATCTTTTGAATCAAGCCTTACTTCAAATCATAAACAAAAGGCATTAGTTCCATTACTTCCAATGGTAGAGAATGAAGACAATCTAAGAAAAACCATTAGTGACATCGGTCAACCCTTTAACCGAAAGTCAAGAATGAAACTGCTTGGATCCTGGGTGCATCGCTGTAAGTCACTCACCTTGTGCAACTGGCAGCAGTCTCATCGTCGGGGACATCCTCCCATCGTAGACACAGTACTGCTGTTGGCAAGCCTGAAACATCTCCTGTTATTCCTCCCAGGTTGTCTGTCTGTACCCTTCTCTCACATCTTCATATGAGGTCAGAGGAAAGGGGACAGTGCCTAAGGAGCGGCGTTCCCTCCGTCGTTCTTCTCTCAGCGTCCACTGATTCACTGTGAAGCGCCTCGTTGCATCCCTCCTTTCCTCTCCTCTCTGCTGTGCTCTGCTCTACCTTCTGTTGCTGCTGCACTCTCTCCCTCTGAGTTTCTCCCTCGCTTGTTCACGTGCCAGGTTGCAAGCCTTTCATGGTTTCCCCGAAGTAACAATGTTCACATATTCACATCATGCACACATCACCGGGAACAAAAGCGCATGCACACACGCACACACACACGCATATATATATATATATATATATATATATATATATATATATATATATATATATGTATATATATATATATACATATGCGTGCACACACACACTGACATGCACGTCCTCTTCTTCAGCCTCAACAGCTTGATGTCATGTTGAAACCCCCCACCCTCTCCATCTGCCTTTACCCACCCTCCTCAATTACTCTTTCCAAATTGCATGCACACTCTTCCTCTCTCGCTCACAGACATACACACTCACGCACGCACACACACACACACACAGAATAGAAAGCCTGTATTTTCATTGAACAGTTTAAATGCAATTAGATTAGGAGCGTTACGCCTACTCAGTACATTAAACGAGACAGGGAGGTAGAAAACACCACAACACAAAAACAGCCTCAGTAAACAAACATCCACAGCCCGCCACACAGGTCCTTAAATAGTACGTCAAAAAAGGAAGATAAATACAGTGTAATTTGCACTAAATAAAAGTATGTATTGCACTAGAATAAATGTAAAAGAGATTTAAAAAAAGATAAATACAAGTAATTTGCACTAGAATAATAAAAACAAATTAAAAATAATATATGTATTTATTTGTATTTATATATATATATATATATATATATATATATATATATATATATATATATATTAGGGCTGTCAAACGATTATTTTTTTTAAACTGATTACAGTAATCGCGTAGTATTGGCGAGTTAACTCACAATTAGTTGCAGTTTTTAAATTTTAAATCCACTCCCATTGAAAATAAACAAGATAATCAAATGGAATGACACATTGTCATTCATACCAAATAAGGAGAACTCCAGTGTAAACCGGTTCTGGGATGTTTAGTATGAGAACGAGTTCCAACGTTACCATGGTGATTAAAGGAGAACTCTGGTGTAAACTGGTTCTGGGATGTTTAGTATGAGAACGAGTTCCAACGTTACCATGGTGATTAAAGGAGAACTCCGGTGTAAACTGGTTCTGGGATGTTCAGTATGAGAACGAGTTCCAACGTTACCATGGTGATTAAAGGAGAACTCCGGTGTAAACGGGTTCTGGGATGTTTAGTATGATAACGAGTTCCAACGTTCCATGGAGAGCAACAAAAAGCCGATACGACGTGAAGCTACGTTCGCCGTTTTTAGCCGATTCTACAAAACTGCTATACGTTTGAGTGCTAAGGGCATCTCACCTGGTAAAAAATAAATTGCTTTTTTAAAGCACTTACAAGGCTAGAAATAGCCTGACACTTCTTTGGTAGTATAATGAGGGTCTTAACATATAAAACGAAGCATTGACAACTTCATAAGTGTACAGATAGTTTATTAAAAAGCATATTTTCTACACACAATAACTTCAGTATCACCCGTCGACGCCATGTTTTCTCTTAGTACAATCTTCTTCAATTCAAGTCCCTGTTCTGGTGGTTCCGTATTTGCAGTAGGCTCATTGACACTGTTTATTCGAAAAATGTGAAAGATGTGCTGATGTTGTCGTTATATTTTAAAGCTTAGCTGCATACATCCTTACAAATAAAACCACCTTTTGCAATATACAGCTGTTGTTTACGGTACAGTGTCCTTGAAAGGAATTTCACTGAAATCTGTCAAGAATTCAATTGTTTGGAGAATGCAGGCATGCTAAGCGAGTGCTCTACCATTTGAGCTAATTCCCCGACACTGCCTTTGCACTCCAGATTAGAAGGTGTTTCCTTTCACCAGTCTCGCCTCTATTTTGTAATTACCCAAATATTGCAGCGGTTTTTTTTTCGCAACACTTCAAAACAAGTTGCTTGAAGCCTGGGTAGCTCAGACGGTAGAGCATCAGACTTTTAATGTCTTGGAATGGTTCTGCTTTGAACAGAAGAGTCAAAACAATGTTGTGAGGTCTCGCAAATTGTGCCTTTAACTGGGTTAATGTAAAATGATGTTAGGTTTTATAGTTTTATGCTTACCTGCCAAAGTTCGTTGCAAATAAAAAACATTTCAAAGTATACAGCAGTTCTCCATTTCAAGCAGTTGTCCTTGAAATGGACGTTCTGTGAAATCTGTCAAAAATGCAGAATTTGGAGAATGCGGGCATTGATCCCGCTACCTCTAGCATGCTAAGCGAGCGCTCTACCATTTGAGCTAATTCCCCGACACTGCCTTTGGACTCCAGATTAGAAGGTGTTTCCTTAACACTTGACATTGCCTTTGGACTCCAGATTAGAAGGTGTTTCCTTTCACCAGTCTCGCCTCTATTTTGTAATTCCCCAAATATTGCAGCGGGTTTTTTTCTGAACACTTCAAAACAAGTTGCTTGAAGCCTGGGTAGCTCAGACGGTAGAGCATCATACTTTTAATCTGAGGGTCCAGGGTTCAAGTCCCTGTTCAGGCGGTTCCATATTTGCCGAAGGCTCATTGACACTGTTTCTTTGAAGAACATCAAATGTGTGCTGTCAATGTCTTGGAATGTTTCTGCTTTGAACAGAAAAGTCAAAACAATGTTGTGAGGTCTTGCAAATTGTGCCTTTAACTGGGTTAACGTAAAATTGTTAGGTTTCATAGTTTTATGCTTACCTGCCAAAGTTTGTTGCAAATATAAAACATTTCAAAGTATACAGCAGTTCTCCATTTCAAGCAGTTGTCCTTGAACTGGACATTCTGTGAAATCTGTCAAAAATGCAGGCTTTTGGAGAATGCGGGCATCGATCCAGCTACCTCTCGCATGCTAAGCGAGCGCTCTACCATTTGAGCTAATTCCCCGACACTGCCTTTGGACTCCAGATTAGAAGGTGTTTCCTTTCACCAGTCTCGCCTCTATTTTGTAATTCCCCAAATATTGCAGCGGGTTTTTTTCTGAACACTTCAAAACAAGTTGCTTGAAGCCTGGGTAGCTCAGACGGTAGAGCATCAGACTTTTAGGGGCAATTGCTCTGTCAGTTAGCATTGCGTTAGCTGCGCTGCGGTTTAAAACCGTACTCCGGAAAACGGAGGTTTTGGAGTTTAACTCGCAGCTGCGCACGAAGTTAAACCTGATTGCTGTGTACTGACCGACACAGGTTCAGCTGATTCGTAGTAAAACTCGTGTTAAACCGGAAGTACTCTGATTTCCCGTTATACTCCAGCAGATGCAGTCTTAACTTAATGTTGGATGCATTTTGTGCTATAATTACCAACAAAAACTTAATGGGAATGTAAAGTGAACTATAATATAATAAAACGCAAATAATGTTGAAATATATTATGAAATAGTCTAGCCTACTTTTTGTGGAAATCTGAGTCTGGAATCTGAATCTGCCCTTACCTACGTCAATCAATCGATTACTTCTCCCCCCCCCCCCCTCAACAATCGCGCCGTACCAGGGGGGCGCCCCCGATCGCGCAGCAGCCCCCCCCCCCCCCCACACACACACACACACACACACACACACACCCCGTCAACAACCGCGCACCACGTAATGTTTATGGGGGGCGCCAAAATTGTTGCTGCATACCCCCCTGACACGATGAACATGTCTCGGATAGAGAACTATAACGAGGAGCAGAAGTTATATTTATTGTACTGCATTCGAGGTGTTGTGGACACGGTGGAAGACGCGAGGAAAGACACCACCACCACGCTCCGAAGAAAGTCTGTTTGGGATGATCTCTCAAACAAACACATGTAACAGTAGATCTTCCAGCAGAAGACCGAGCAGCGGCACATTTAAAGAATTTATGGAAGCGCTTGAAAGTTGAAGCGCGTAATGCTATTGCTGAGCGGACGCACGACCGAGACCTGAGCCCCGCGAGCCGAAATATCACTGCTCACTCCATATCTACTATGTCCAATATTGTTATTGTACTGAAGGCCTATCTGGCGTAATAAGTGTAAATGTATCATACATTATTATTAATACTACTAATAATAATTAATAAAACTAATTCTGTGTGTGTCGGTTATAATGGAGCCTTGTTTCATCCTGCAAACTGGTTTAGTCTCCTCTAAAACCATGTCCGTTTCGAGACTAGACTAACACGCACAAAATACGCCCTCTAGTGTCTGAGGTGAATTTCTCTGAAGACACAGCAATTGAGATCAAGGTAAAACGCAGCTGCAGGTTAAACCACAGGTACATACGACACAGCAATGGAGCTTAAGACGTCACGTGACTTCTTGCGTCACCGACGAGTTTAAAACCGTGTTAAACTCTAAAAAGTGGCTAACGTAGCGACAGAGCAATTGCCCCTTAATGTCTTGGAATGGTTCTGCTTTGAACAGAAGAGTCAAAACAATGTTGTGAGGTCTCGCAAATTGTGCCTTTAACTGGGTTAATGTAAAATGATGTTAGGTTTTATAGTTTTATGCTTACCTGCCAAAGTTCGTTGCAAATAAAAAACATTTCAAAGTATACAGCAGTTCTCCATTTCAAGCAGTTGTCCTTGAAATGGAACGTTCCGTGAAATCTGTCAAAAAGGCAGGCTTTTGGAGAATGCGGGCATCGATCCCGCTACCTCGCATGCTAAGCGAGCGCTCTACCATTTGAGCTAATTCCCCGACACTGCTTTTGGACTCCAGATTAGAAGGTGTTTCCTTTCACCAGTCTCGCCTCTATTTTGTAATTCCCCAAATATTGCAGCGGGTTTTTTTCTGAACACTTCAAAACAAGTTGCTTGAAGCCTGGGTAGCTCAGACGGTAGAGCATCAGACTTTTAATCTGAGGGTCCAGGGTTCAAGTCCCTGTTCAGGCGGTTCCGTATTTGCCGAAGGCTCATTTACACTGTTTCTTTGAAGAACATCAAATGTGTGCTGTCAATGTCTTGGAATGTTTCTGCTTTGAACAGAAAAGTCAAAACAATGTTGTGAGGTCTTGCAAATTGTGCCTTTAACTGGGTTAACGTAAAAATTGTTAGGTTTCATAGTTTTATGCTTACCTGCCAAAGTTTGTTGCAAATATAAAACATTTAAAAGTATACAGCAGTTCTCCATTTCAAGCAGTTGTCCTTGAACTGGACATTCTGTGAAATCTGTCAAAAATGCAGGCTTTTGGAGAATGCGGGCATCGATCCAGCTACCTCTCGCATGCTAAGCGAGCGCTCTACCATTTGAGCTAATTCCCCGACACTGCCTTTGGACTCCAGATTAGAAGGTGTTTCCTTTCACCAGTCTCGCCTCTATTTTGTAATTCCCCAAATATTGCAGCGGGTTTTTTTCTGAACACTTCAAAACAAGTTGCTTGAAGCCTGGGTAGCTCAGACGGTAGAGCATCAGACTTTTAATGTCTTGGAATGGTTCTGCTTTGAACAGAAGAGTCAAAACAATGTTGTGAGGTCTCACAAATTGTGCCTTTAACTGGGTTAATGTAAAATGATGTTAGGTTTTATAGTTTTATGCTTACCTGCCAAAGTTCGTTGCAAATAAAAAACATTTCAAAGTATACAGCAGTTCTCCATTTCAAGCAGTTGTCCTTGAAATGGAACGTTCCGTGAAATCTGTCAAAAATGCAGAATTTGGAGAATGCGGGCATTGATCCCGCTACCTCTCGCTTGCGCTTACCGTGTTCTGCCAGTTCCGCCAATGTAAGCCCAAAGTAAGCCCAAAGTAAGCCCAACGTAAGCCAATCACGTTCCTTCCTCCGCGAAAGTAAGCCCAACCATAGCCAATCACGTTCCTTCTTTCGCGAAAGTAAGCCCAAAGTAAGCCCACCCCTAGTCAACCTTTTAACCAATCGCGTTGTTTCGCGGAGTTCATCCATTTCTCAATAAAGGTAAGATGCTTTTTTAGACGTGGTGTACCGTTATCGGACAAATTGTCTGCTACAGCCGTTGGTGTTGACATTGCCGGTAGCTTGCAAACGGTAACGTTGTCGTTAATTACCGTTGTTGTAGTGTGCCGTTTCTGGGTAGTAATGTTGCTATGTGTTTTGATAAGGTTGTGTAGGCGCTATACAGACGGTGGCAACAAATGTCCTTAACGGACAATAAATAATCGATCTATCTAGCTATCTATCTATCTATGCGTTATTGGGTAGCAGGTGCTATTGAAAAATCGCGTCTGTCGGTAATCTCACATATGTAATACATATGTAATGTGACCCCACCCAGGTTACAGAGGGGGGATAATCGGCGGAAAATAAACTATACCCTAAACACCGACCATCCGAGTGTTGACAAGTTTTAAAGGGTTCAGAAAGAGCGGGAGACGTGGGTTCAATTCAAATAGTATTTATTTGGAATAGAAACTATACTGGCAACGGACCTGAAAAGGAAAACAGATGTCAGATTAGTCCAAGTTATTTTATTTCACAATACTAAAATACTTAACTATTAAGATATAAATAGCAAAGGGCTTAACAACATGAAATACAATAGAGGATAAAATGGCTCCAACTATAGGCAGGACAGGGTACTCACCACAGGGAGCTTCTATCACAGACCCCAATAGAAACCACCACGTGTGCACACCAACCACTGCAACCTACACTGCAAGGACAAGCAACCTACAATCCAGTGAAGTGACCGCTACCCTTCACACCCATCACACTGCATGCAAGGAGGGGTGCATATCCCACGACTACTCCCCGCAGATCATCCCTGTGCCTATAGTTCTGCCTAGTTCACTACCACATACAGTACCTCTTCAGCGCAGGACTAGAGCTCAATCTGGATCACCCCACGACAGTCACACCACAACTAAATATACAAAAGGCCTCATTAGTTTTCCCATAAGGCAATATAACACATTTCTCCTTCAATCTCCCTTACCCGCACGGACCTGCATCCCTGCCACACAACCAGGCCTCAAACGAAGAGGCACTTATTGCCCACACCTGTCCTTATAAAGGCGGCGAGCTACCTCTGGCCCCGCCTGACAGGGCGGTGCTTTGAATGTAGATGCCAGCCCTCGCATATATAATCGTTTGGCATGTCTATGTGTATAGGTTTCATTTAATAGCCATACAGTCGGTTTTAGTCGCATTCGTTTAGATTACCTTAGATGTTTTGCTTCTGCCATTTGAAACATTGTGCCCTATGTTTTAAAAAACAAACAAACACTGTAGTAGAGGTTGCCTCCCCTCTTTAAAAAAAATGCACACAGAAAAATAATGATTTCAGCCTTTGCCCTGAGGCAACCTCTGTTATACTTATATAGTTGAATGTACACACTTGAATATACAGGTATTTGTTGTAATGGTGACTAAAGGTCTTTTTTCTTATTTTCTTTCAGAAAATGTACGCATACCCAATCTTTCGACGCCAATCGGCAAAGTCGACCAGGCTTTTCATGGCGCCGTCAGAGCAGGCAAAGGGCGTGGGGAATGTGCCTGGAAGGGCTAAACCCAAAGAGGAGGTGATGACAGAGGCCCGCAATTTCATCGCCAACAATGGTGGGGACCCCAGTGATCATTTTTTGACACTGGCGCACTGCCAGCTTCAGTTTGGCATGTACCAGGGCCAGAGATTCAGGTGGTTGATGGAGAACAACCTTGGCTATGCTCTGTATTTATTGCAGAGTATTTCCAAGGAAAGTGCACAGCCAAACCCTCTGTCTGAGAACAAACAGCTGCTCCTGCAGTATGCGTCTCAGATCAGAGAGGTGAATGAGGAACTGGAAAAGTTCCAGAGGAAGATGAGGATGCAGGCTAAAGCGCGTGAAACTGGAGACCAGGGCTGGTTGATGGTGGAGTTTGGTGAGTTTCAGGGCCAATCCATGAAGGAGGTTTATGAGGACAAAACCTTGAAGGCCCAGAACCTCATTAACTACCTGGTTCGAGCAGATGCCCGGCCCAACACCAACATGGCCATTTTCAAGGCTTATGTCTTGAAAAGACGTGCGTCTGCCTCCAGCACCTCTGCTGCGCCACCTGCAGTCTCCAGCGCTTCTGCTCCGCCCCCTGCAGCCTCCAGCACCTCTGCACCTCCACCTGCAGCCTCCACATCATCTGCACCTCCACCTGCAGCCTCCACTTCCTCTGAAGCCTCCACATCTTGTGCTCCGCCACCTGCAGCT